TCGTTCCTGATTTCTTATTAATCGAAGATCATATGAAAATCGGCAATGTAATAATGCGAATGACCTTCTTGATAGACCTGCAGGGTACTTATGTCCATTTTGTGATAAAATTTGTAGCTTTGACGCCGGGATGAAGAGGCACATGAAAGTACACGACCAGAAAGTCACTTTCGAGACTCTCCAAAAGTCGTTCGTGCGTCAATATGTAAGACGGTATGCATGAATGAGGTTGATTTGCAAATTCATCTGTGGGCCCTTGGTCGCTCAGCTTATCGTTGTCATTATAACTTTCTTCTGTAACCAAGTGCCAGTTATCGTATATATATATATATATATATATATATATATATATATATATATATATATATATAATGAAATGGACAAAGTCCGACAATTATTTAAAGACGGTATTAAACAACATTTACCGTCCTGAATGTCCGAGAAATTTTCGCAGAAAATATTCGTCCTCAGACCGGTAAATGTTGTTTAATACTGTTTATTATAAATAGAGCATTTACTTAAATATTTGTATCTATAAAAAGAATGTATAAACATAAAAAATGTCTTCAAATAATTGTCCATTTCATAATGCGTGACGTCATTTGATTACATTTGATACGCCTTGAGCAGATATGAATGTACGTGAGAGATTCATGGAGGATTGTAGTTCAAATACAGTAAATTCGACCTTGCTAAGCGAACGCTCCTTCGTCGCCAAATCGGTAAAGGCACGTCAAGCTAAATGACGGTTCCGTATAGGATACAGGTTCGATCTTGTGGGAGTACGAATATTTTCTGTGAAAACCTAAAGAGCCAGACAAACCTACCTAGGTTTCACCTAAGCGGGCCGTCAGGTTTGCTCTACTTAGCATATTAAGCACATTTCTTAGTCATTTTTACTTTACTGTCGGAGGTTTCTCTCTTTGTACTTAGATTCTAGACGATTATTTTCGTCGGAAGTACATGTTCTTAGTTCTTTCTTCTTTTGTCCTGTATATTCCCCTTGGGTATTAGTTTGTTCATTTACAAGCTAAAACACCTAAGGTTTTGCCGGACGAGTATAGTTGTTTATATTTATAAGATTATTAGTATTATATATATATATATATATATATATATATATATATATATATATATATATATACCCTTACGTTCTAATACCCTTGGGAAAGGTATGAATCCTCTTCTTCGCACTCCAGCTATGGGTAAAATAGCGGGACAGACTGGGTTCTATAGCCTTGGATGGCAGCTGGTCTAGGAGAAGGACAACTCTGAATTCAAAACCTGCGGAGGGTCGTTTGGGAACCTTGTGGCATTCGGTGCACCAGGTCTCTGTATTCGTCCCTTCAAAAAGTGTGGATTGTCCTGCACGAAGCCTTCACCATTATAATCAAATCTCATGTGCCGGTGTCGGGCTGTCGGTTTCCTTGAAACTGATCTGCTTGAACCTCATACGTCGAATCTCGACGGGAGAGCCGATTATATATATAATGGAATAGATTGTCCAATTATTTAATATATTCACTGCCTATACGTTATTTTTAATAGATCCAATTTAAATGAATGTTGTGATTTTTAAATAAATCGTATTAATTACATTTGCCGGCCTGAATATATGAGAAATTTCGTGGAAAATATAGGTTATCCGATATGAATCGAACCTGTGTACTACATGTAACCGGCAATTGATCTGACGGCCTATAATATTTAGTTAAATGCAATAAATACTCTTTATTAAAAATGCGGAAAATGCAATTAATACTGTTTATTGAAAAATAACAGAGCATTAAAATAATTTCTATTAAAAATAAAGAAAATATATTAAATAATTGTCGGATTTAATCCACTTCATAATATGTTGTCAAAGTTTACGTTAAAGTACTTTTCGTGAGTAGATATGATCATCCGGGAAAGATCGTCGAAGATTTGTTTTTTATAAAAAGTCATTCGCACTTTGCTTACCAGACGCTTCTTTGTGGCTGAGTCGTATGGCACGTCAGATCAATTAACGGTTCCGCATAGGTCGCAGGTTCGATTTCTGTCGGAGAACGCATATTTCCTACAAAATTTAGACCGGTAAATATAATTCACACTGTTTATTTTAAAAACAGAGCATTTACTTAAATAAATTGTGTCTATTATAAATAATGTGCAAACGATATATATATATATATATATATATATATATATAAACTTGGTATACAAAACAGTACCCAATGTCATGAATAGAAATGCACTATGAGTAAAAATGAAATGATAAGCTATATACGAGCGACTACCACTTTTACATACGAGCGCCTGATGATGATCACAGCGCGCTTCCATTTCGTTTGAAATATTATACATAATATTTCATTGTCACTATATATATATATATATATATATAAGTAACGAAAATCTTGGTATTCCGTATGAATAATTCCAAAGAGGATGAAATCCTGAGAGCTCAATGTTAATTATGAGCGAATAATTTAATTTAAAGATAAACAGACTACTTTAA